AAATCTCACTACTTCATCAAATCTCACGGCAGACATCCAACATCACTTCTACTGCCATCCCAAAGAACATCACAGCAAAAAAGACGTCAAAAATTCCTTATTTGAGTCTTCAAAAGACACGTTCCAGAGCCGGCGTTCTGGTCTGGACAATTTATTTTCCACAAACAACTTATAATATAAGATACGTCTAACCTGTAAAATAAACAAAGACACCGACAGACAATAGCAAAGCTCTTTGCAAACACAGAAAATGGCTAATAAACAACAGGTAGCGTGATCCAAACAAAGTATAATTTAGATTTCAATCTAACATCCAAACTTTTGCCTGATGCAGATTTTGTCCTGCAAAGGAAAACATCCCCATAAGGCATCATATTACACTGACACATCTGTTACTGGGATAAATATCCAATACATGTGACATTTACTGCTTCAAGGTTAGAGTTATGATCAAACTGTAGCTAACAAGGTATTGAAAAGGTCATGTTTGGGTTTTCTAGTTGCTGTTATGTAATCACCTCGCGTTGCTGTCTTTTAAAGGATCTCTTTCTGATGAGGTTTTTCTGAAGAAAAATATACGTTCGGTAAAGATTGCAAAGTAAAATCTGAATTCATACAGCAAGTTCAGCCCAAAATGAATATTCAATCCTTATCTATTAACCTTTATGTCATCCAAAACCTGCAAGACTTTCGTTTTCGGGTGGATCTCAAAAGGAAATTCTGAAGACTATCATGATCACTCTTATATTCAGTTACAATGAACAAAGACTGAAGCTTTCAAGCTCCAACAAGAAGACAAAAGTAGCATAAGAGAGCCCATACGACACACTATATACCAAGTCATTTGTGTGGGAAATAGACTAAAATGTAATTTGATATTCAAACAAAACAAATCATTGAGCCAGCAACCTGAAGTGATTCTTGTACAAATCATTTACATTTTAAACCAGACCAAGTGATTTATTGAAAAGATATGACTGAAACAAACGATCCTTTGAGAAATCGGACATCGCTGCTACTCTCACCATGGAGAGAAAGTGCTAATGTCAAGAAGATCTTCCATTAATACTTACATTTATGATTATTTCTCACACAAAGTTATTGTGTATGACTTCAAGATTTGGAAAATACCACAAAAGTCATATGGTGCTTGAGAGTTTTATGTTTGTAACCAAACTGTTGTTGGGGCATCATTGTCTTCCATAGTATTTCCATACAATGGAAGTCAATGGTGGCCCAACAACTGTTTGGTAACAAACATTCTTTAAACTATCTTTCTTTGTGTTCAGCAGAACAAAGAAATATTGGTTTGGAACAACTTGAGGGCAAGTAAATGGTGACACAATTTTGATTTTTGGGTGAACTATCCGTTAGCCACCACATATAACAAACCACCAGCATCATAGTGGAAAGAGTTTTGTGCAGCAAGAAGAGGATAACTGTTCCAGATCTGCTGAATATTTTGCATCTCAACTCAACTTGAACTGTTAAGTAGTCTATCTGATGTGGGCTCTTTCCTGTGTGCATGTGTGTAGACATTTGCAGTAAGCTCTGTCTACTCTAAATGTAGCTGAAATGTAAAGTACAAGGCTGGTGAACAACAAGTCCTGACTGGGTAATTAAAGAGCTGGGAAGAAAAAAAAAAGGCAAGGCAGACTGACTGGAAACCACTACCAGCCCTTGAAGAAACATCTGTGTTAAAGGAAAACAAGGTAATTATATGGAAAGTGGGAGGAACTGCTAAAGTATTTTGCCTTCAGAGAGAGGCGCTTTGTCTGCCACTGCAGCATCCTTCTGTCCAAAGAAACCACAATAGTGGAAGACTACAACCGTTACCAGACCTCTCCGTGCATGCGTTCTGCTTATATTTCAAGTTTATAGTGGCTTTCTGGATCTTTGTGAAGATCTTGATGAAAACAAAAAAACGTACATTTCTCAAATAAATTTTCTTGTTTTAATCCGGTTCACTACCACTGTCAGGAATTTGATATTGATATTAAGGACGCGTCCGGACACAAACTTTCCTGTAGACTAGGCCATTATCTTAAAAAAAGTCTAGCACATATGAAACCCTCTGCAATGACCAGACTTTATTTTTCATTGTGAATGTAGTCTAATACGTTCACACCGGACGCGAATAGCGCGCCAGGCGCGAATGATTTCAATGTTAAGTCAATGCAAAGACGCGCTACACACATAAAAAATTCCTGCAGCGCGAATGAGGCGTGGAGCGCGGCGCAGAAGACGCGAATACGCCTCGTTCACGCGAATTGAGCACCTGGCGCGTTTGGCGCGTTACGCGGGAATGATTTCGTTAGTGCCATTTCACGTGTGTGACGCAAATTCGCGTCTGCCGCCCAAGTTGAAAAATCTGAACTTTGGCGTGAATTCACGCCGCGTTAACCAATCAGGAGCCTAGCTGCTTGCTCATGTGGTGAAGTGTCTGGATGCTTCAATAAATTATTTTGTAATATGACTAAATGCATGGTGGGATTATGCACAACAAAGCAAATATTTTATCACTTAAAACATTATTTCTATATACGATACATGTTCATTTTGTATTGAAAGTTATTCATTCCATATCTAGATTATATGAAATAGTATTATGATGTAAAGACAATCAACATATGTGCATAAGTTCATGTCTGGACGTGAGAGAGAAAAAAATTATGAATGCTCGATGGCCGTCAAACGGTTTTCGGTTTTGACGCGCGTAAATTTCGCTTCAAACTTTTAAAATTTTACCCGCGTCAGTTTCGCTCTTGACACACGAATTAACACAAAGTGGTCAAGCGTCAGACTAGGCGCTTCAGGCACAAATTTGATGCACTATTCGCACCCGGTGTGAACGCACACTAAGTCAAAGAAGAACCAAAAATACTAAAATATGGCCTGTAGCAAATTTGCACTTTTTTCTTCTCTTCACTTCAATAAACCAGCCGAGATATGAATTCTACTATAGCTTAAGAAAAATGCTGGATGACCCGGCTCTTCTTAACTGATAACAACCGGAGAAAAGCTTTGACAGATGCCTGGATGTAAGGAGATCATCACTGACAGACAGAAACTGTGAAATGCAGTAATTAATAATAACTATTCTCAGCATTTTACCACAAGAGTTAATATAGAGTCCATTAGCAAAAACTGTACATTTTAATTTCTTTTTAAGATGTGTGTTTCCCAAAAGCATCGTTAGCCAACTACAAGTTCTGTTGTTACCAACATAGTTCAACATTGGCGTTTCCCGAAACCAAACCAGGGTGTGTCCGATTAGAGTTGTTTCCTGTCTGCCATTGTTGGCCAAACTTGATTAATTCAGGTGTGTCTGATTATTGTTGCCATGACTACTGAGGTCAGCACACCTGAATTCATTAATTTGGCCAATAATGGCAGACAGGAAACAAGGAGCTGGCTTAAGTTCAGGAAGTAGTGCAGCTGTGCATAAAGGCTATAGAGAGCCTAAGTCCCGCCCCTCCGCTTCCGCTCATGGGACTTTATTTCGGAAAAAATATGTGGTAGTCAATGGCGAGAGACAACTTATCTTTTTATTCAGTCTAAACTGGCACCCTGAATTACACATATGATGTTTGTCAATTTAAAAGATAATTCTAAAAGTCAAAAACATCACCGTTTGTCATAAAACAAAAGAGTAACTTTTAGTTTTATGTGAAAATCGCTCAATGAACTACATCTCCCGGGAAGCGAAACAACGAGCAAGATCCGCTGCTCATGTGTGTGCAGTCTGGTACAAAACACTCAGGTATGACGGCGTAACGTTACGATTATAACGTAAGACTATAGAAACAATGACAGACATTAGTCTCAGTAAAGTTACCTTCATTCATTGAGAAAATGTGCGCCTTTGGGGGTTGTAGTCTTTGTAATTACGTATTTTCACAGTCTTATACCTCGACGGTTTCACATCAAACAGCGACTTTCTTTACTTTAAAATATATCTTTTAAATTGACAAACATCATATGTATAATTCAGGGCACAATTCAAACGAGATCAAAATATTTGTTGTCTCTCGCCATTGACTACCATACAATATTTTTTTCCGAAATAAGGTCCCATGGTGGTCGACCGGAAGGGGAGGGACTGATGGTGCGTTCTATTATTCATCCGTCTCGGAGATCCGAATCGGACGACAGACGTTGCCTAGCAACACGCCCCCTTTCCTCGGATTTCTCCTCTCGGACATCGGACAACCGTGAGGACACCGAGCAAGAACCGCTTTGGTATTTTAAACGACGATTATAATCACTCGTATTACTGCGTCCCCTGTAGGCATGGGAATCAGTTGTTGTGAGTGCTATTACTAACATTGCTAGCGTTGCTAACAGAAGATTAACATGAAAAACTTTAAATAAAGTGAAGATTTTCAAGTTCAAATGGATGCGTTTTGATAAGGTGTAGTCATAATATTTTTATTTTAACGCAAGTGCCTGGTACTCGGCCAGTGCTACCATTACAACAGCTTTCTCCGACTCGGACAAGCAAAACATAATAGAACACTTGAAGTGTAGACATGACGTCAAATCCGAGGTCCGAGACGGTTCGTTGGGTATAACAGAACGCACCATTAGGCTCTCTATTGGAATTGAGTTTGAGATCACTGCTTTAACAGCACAGGATTTTAGAGCTAATTCTAACTTTTCAGATTTTTTGGCCATACACGACTTAATTCGGTTTAGTTTTTCGTAGAAAAATAGCAGAAAAATAACAAAAACTGATGTTTACAAACCTCAGTTTGTGAAATTGCAGTTGAGACAACATGTAGCCTATAACATCATAAAAAAATGCAATATTGTCAAAAGTCATGTCCAAATTCGCTAGTATTTGCTGACTTTTTCCTCAAATTGCTAACTACTACATGTCATCATCACTGTACCATGCAATGTCAACGTATCAGATACTGACTTTGCTGTCTGAAAAAAGTGGATCAGATGATCTCTCAACAACTCTCTCAACAAGACAAAGAAACCCAGTAACTCACCTTTCTGGCAATGGTTGGAGGTCCAGCATCTGTAATTGTCTATCCTGTTAAAGTTGGTCCTGCATTGTAGGTTGTCCTCCATGATTCCCGGGCAAACATTTCCACACTCCTTGGACTGTTTATTTCCATCAATGTAATTGTTCAATTCAGCATTCATAATGAGAGACCAGTCTACAGAATCCAGGTAGCAGAGCTCGGGATTCTTCTCGATTCGTATCGCACCCCGCGTGATGTTCCGCAGGTTGTAAAGGCCGATGTCCTTCAGGCTGGTCAGCTCAAATATGACCAGGGCGTAGTTGTAGAACAAGTTGCGGCCCCGGATCACAGCAAGATTAGGAAAGAGGGTGCTGAGGCTTTCCAGCCCGGACACACGGAAGAGGAGAAGGTAATCCGTAATCATGGTCAGTTTGGGGAAACTCAGGGTGCGGAAGAACTCCTGGTTGTTATTGTTCTTGCCTCCGATGAGGAGGATCTGCAGGTATCCCTCAACCACTGTACAGTTCTCCAGCCGCTTGAAATTACTGATATCATTGCCAATGTCAATGCCTGGACCACAGACTGGAAGGAGGAAAACACAAACATTCAGACGATAATCAATGCAATAGTAACATTTAACAGTCACAGGTAGCAAGTCATTCGGATGATGCTTAAAACCAACCTTGAATATTTGAATGAATAGATGGATTCATGGAAATGTTACATAATAATTTGCATCGCAACTTGTCATTCCAAACCGTTGCGACTTTCATTCTTCAGTGAAACGCAAAAGAATAGATTTTGAAGACATCTTGGGTTCCAATGTTGTTTGCACCAGAACGCTCCTTAAAATATATATTTTTATGTTTGACTGAAGAATAATATCACATATAGGTTTGAGGGTGAGTAAGTGACGACAAAACGCATTTACCAAGCGCTGAATAAACACGAGTCGAATGATTTAGGCCAAAAAAACTAACACTTATTTACTGACTGTCAAGCCAGAGATGTGCGAGAAGTTGACCAACTGCAGTTTTTCTTCTGCTACGGACACACTGCCATAAGGGAGCATTTATAAGACAGATTTTTGTGTTTTTATGACAAGAATCCTGAGACAGACATCTCTGCTTTCACTACCATCCATTACGCTGTTTATTTTCCACGGCGTGATTTGCCCACAGGCAAAACACAAAGAAAAAGCGGAAAAAAAATGAGCCCTGGAAAATGCAATAAGATAATTAGAGAGCTTTTGAATTATAGAGCTTAAATTAAACCCTAAAAGATAACATTACCTAAAAGTTTATAACCCTTTAAATCTTAGATAATCTCGGAGAGAAAAGGCCCACTCATTCCACCCTGAACGTCCTTTCTTTTATAGGCTAGTCATCCTTAAATCTGATTCAAACAAGTGTGCATTGCTGTATTATATTCATTATGCTAGAAAACAGAATTAAGCTTTTGCAAAAACAAGCATCTTTCACCACGCTGGAAGACAGACAGCACCCAGTCTGTCTGCGGACTCTAACATTTTCACACTGCTGAGTAAACAGTGCTATCTTTATTGCTTTGATGGCTCTCCAAATCTCATGTTTACATTTGATAACCCAATTCCAGCCCACCATTGCGAACTCTCAAAGGTAGCAGAGTGGAGGCATTTGGAAATTAGGTCATAAACTGATGTCACTGTTTAGAAATGAAGCAGGAGGGAAACAAAGCTTTTAACCCAAGCTAGTAAATCCTAACACTTCAAATTGTACAACAAAACAGATCGCAACAAAATGCGTTCATATGGACATGGGATACAAAACCTAAAAGCAAGAAGGCCTCGTATTTTTTGCTAACAGAAGTTCAGACAGTACTTTCTCTGCTCAACATTTCAATGCTGACATCAAATGTTTGTATGTAAAATACATTACAAAGATATTTCTACAATTTTTTACCTTTGTATGTATTTGTATATTTACATTTGTCCCATCAAATTTGTCTTAATAAAATGGGGGAAAAAAGATTTTACTTTTTAGATTTTAAAGAATTTCTTTCTTCTGCTGAACACAAAAGAAGATATTTTGAGAATTTCTGTAACCAGTCCCCATTGACTTCCATAGTAGGAAAACAATACTATGGAAGTCAATGGGGTACATCAACTGTTTGGTTACCGACATTCTTCAAAATATCTTATTTCGTGTTTAGCAGGTGGGTGAATGATGCCAGAATTTGCATTTTTAAGTGAACTATTCATTTAAATCACAAAAATAAATAAATGAACATGGTGTGAATTTTAAATATCCCCTACAAAATGGCTTTAAATAAACATTAAAGGTGTTTCTTAATATTCATATGAACTAAGCATATTTGGGTGTTCTCGTTTTAAAATTGGAATCAATTCGTAGGTTTTCCTGAATATCACTTTTTAGTCTTTAGTAAAATCACTAGTAACAAAAGCTAATTCTTTTATGACATCAACCTCTAAGAAATGACATCATTTTTAGAACTAAAACAACAGCACAAACATTAATGTCAGCAATTCATTTGATGGGTTATGTGATGATTTTTGTGGAATTCCACAAAATTCCATCCTGTTTGATAAAATCACAGATATTGCTATTAAAATATTGATTAATAAAAAAGCTAAAGTAGATGTACGAGAATCACTGTGTATTTAAGGAAAGACGCAAAAACTGTTTTAACCCAACCAAAAATGCAGATCAACTAATAAACAAATCATTTGATCTCGAGATAAATCAACCAGTTAACCTGAACCACATTTATGCCCCACTGGGAATCTCAAACCGTCCTGTGCCAAGAGAGACAGGTTATACTTAGGATTTCCACTAAGAACCTCCTCTGCCTCACTACCTCGCTGCGCTGCAACCGCTGGGGTTAACAGTAAAACCCAATTACACAGACTTCACAAACTCCTCACTCTTCCAATCAACAAAACCGGGTCTGTTTTGCTAGAGCGGGTGTTTTTGCATGTTCTATTTTAAAAACAGATTTTTTTTCCTCTCTCTCTCGATGAATCGGATGAATCAGGGGGTCTTTATTTGCAGTTTACTTGGAAAAATGGAAATGTTGTGGTGGTCAAACATTAAGGGGAAGCAAATTTTTTTTTTTTTTTCGTAAAAACTTACTGGGTTATTGATTTTAAAGAGACAAAAATATCTTGCATGTTTTTCACATACGTATGGGGCCAATTTTGATGAACGCAAGACAGTTTTGCTTGGAAAAACAGAGGCAAATTTGCATAGCCCATGTGGGGTTAATCCAATCATAACAATGACTATGCCATTGTTAATTTTCCAAACCCAGCACAGCATGAACAACATGAGACATACAGTAAAAAGTAAACAAACACACCCGTACAGAGCACGTCATTGTGTTTTCTCTTTTCAAATCACTTTCATTTACTGGCAACCACATCACAGCGTCCAATGTATCCTACTAACCTAACAGAGACCAGCCCTTCCATGACAGCAATCTTACAAACTGTAACCAACCACTCTTATATCAATATTATCAATTGGTTATGGTAACAAATGATAAACTCTGGCCAATTTTGCCAACCCTTAAGAGATAGCCTAATAGTTAGTGACATTTATCTAACTCTACATTAAAGAGTTGTGAGACAAATTAAAAACTGTAAGATCAAACGCTTGCAAAGAGAAAACCAGAAGTTAAGTACTTTAAAAAAATAGTTTTAAAGTCTGAATTCCAGAGTATCTTGTATGAAATAAAAATAATTATTGTTTTAAGGACTGGCTTAGGGATAACCAAGCTAACAGTAACCTAACATTATGGAAAGTTTCTCGCAAAGATATTAACAAACATTCTTCCAGTAAAGTTAATGTTCGTTTAAAGTTATCTGGTCTTCAACGTTATCAAAACAGTAGCACAAAAATGTTGAGCATTCACCTTTCATTCCTGAAATATTTTAGTGAAACATTTAAGTATGTTTTTAAACGATAGGCTACTACTAAAACATCCAAAAGTAACTTTCCCAGAACATTTTCAAAATGAGAAATATATATAGTCTTCCCCACATTCTTAAAAATTTAAAAAACTGAATGTTGAACATTCAGAAATAATGTTTTCATAACTTTAGGGTAACATTAGTGAAACGTTCTTAGTATGAACGTATTTCTGTTAGCATGGAAATAACACTAGTCTATAAAAGAACCTGTTGGTTTAATTAATTAAAACAGATACTGTCAGTGTCAACAAAATCTCCCATACTGCTATAGCATGATGAACATAACTCAAGTCTGACTTTCATACTTCTGGTAAAGTATAGATCTATATCTGTAGTCCCACATGATGGCACTTGTAAAACACAATTACTATATTCTAGAATTATTTGATAGAAGTAAAATACCTAGGAAATTACCTTTTAAATGGCAGTGGCAGTATGCCTTTGTTCGTTTTTTGACTTTGCATAACCAAAGCACTATGTGACGCATGATATAAACGTGGTCCCATGTATTTTCTATTATGAAACATTTTAAATAAGGAAAGCAGGGAACACGTGCATTTAAGTGAAAAGTAACAGGTTGGTCTGAAATTTTAAACAGTTTTCTTGCCAAAGCTTAAAACATCATTCATTACACAATACATGTGAAATCAAAAAGCAAAAAAATGAAAGTGAAGGGTTTCTTAGACCAGCAACAATTATACGTTGCTCTAATCCATATGCATTCACTATAACTTACTTTCTCCATGACAGAGTGTGGAGAGGACCAGCACCAGACCACAAAACATGGTCCAATATCGCCTCTGTCTGCTAGACCTCATTCCTGTACAAAAACAAGGCAAATACTTGTTTAAAAAATATATGTATTACAAAATAGGGGAGGCAGCAACCCTTCAAAGTAGATGATGCTTGACTCTTGAAGTCTTCTCAGTACAAAAATATGATCAAAGTTGGTTTATCCAGCTTAGTGCCTCCTTATGGAGGGGGTGAAAACAAAAATATAGATAAACATGAGCTGGAAAAATTCAAACAAAACCAAGTTCTTCCATCTTAATGGTGTTTTGCTGGGTTAAATGACCCTCCAGACACCCCGGCGAGATTCTCCAGCACTCAGCCCGTTATGCCCACACCATGAGGCGGATTCAACCGCACTGATTCTCGGGCTCCTTAAACGTTTTAAATATTATTTTTTACAGCTTTTCCTTGTCGATTTATGTGAAAATAACCAAGAAAAACACGTGACGGCTTGATAATCCGCATTTCCATGCTCCATGGCGTGGGGAAAATGGGGAAAACACGTTGCAGGTCTCCTCGCAGGCTGGTTTTCGCTGGAGTTGAGTGAAACCCGCTCAGGTCCGCTGGCTAAAACAGTCTGGACGAGTGTGTGTAACTGTGTGTGATCTTCATCAGCTGCAAGATGCTCTGTACTTCTCATCCAGCGTTTTTAAAGGCCTAAAATCGGTGAAGAAACTCAGAAAGATGCCAAATAATATTCGTCCAGGCTTTAAAATGGTCTCTCTCAGCCTCCCACCATCTTCAGTCTGAGATTTCAAAGCTTGATGTTTCTCGTCAAGAAACGGAGTATGGAGGGCACATATGATTTCTGAAGGATCGGGTCGGTGTTCATTTAAGAGATGTGAAGGATGTGGAGTAGATCATGTAGTCTCTCTCCGTTGATTTGACGCTGTAAACAAGGCTCGATCTCTCTCACACACTCATGCACTCAAACGCATAGTAGGCTAACGTTACGTTGGATAAAGGTGTGAGGGAAAACCAGGGCTGGATCACACACACACGCAAAAGGGATTTGGATCTGATTTTGGAGGTTGCCTGGACTAGTGAAAAACACTGCTACTGGCGGTGTCAATACCTTTAGCTGCCTACATAGACGTATACGTGCTTCATAGGTGAAATATTTATTCAGCCTACTTATTTATTGCAATTCACAAGATATCTATGTAGTTAATCAAAATAAATATTAATTAAAAATGTTTATTTATTTAAATTAGTCTACAACTACACAAATTAAATATATATATATTATAAAATGCTACTTAGCCTATTTATTTATATTACAATAAAAAAATAACATATTATTATACATTCAAAAGGATTTTTTTTTTTTTTTTTAATTGCTACTACTGTCTCAAACAGTAAACAGCAAGTTTACTGTCATCCCTCTTTTGGGAAGAAGATGCAACACGTGTAATTTAGTCTCACTGTAATTTTGTCTCATAAAGGACTGTGTTCTGCCGGCAGGAAAACACTCATGTAACATGATGTCATAATATGACATCCTTGTTTTATCCAATAATTAGTGTAAATTGACACACTGATTTTGCATGTTTCATGTTTTGTTTTTCGCAGTAAGTGTTATATGAATACCAAACATATTATTAGTATTTTAATGTTAAAATAATACTATTTATTGGATTATCACATAAATTAATGGCTGCCACGTTTGGCACTTGAAAATCCATAAACAGTGCATCAAAATATAATTTAATATTTCAGATTAAAATATAAGCCAAATGAAAGATTATAATAAAATAGATGTCATTTTTATACTTTCAAGATAAATGTTACATTGTTTGTATAAACTAGTTTACAAAGTTTATATTGGTCAATGTGTCCTTTAAATATAGATTTTGATTTGGCTTTTAGCAGTCTATTCCTCACCATTGAGTCAATAAAATAACAACCGGTTTGGGTTCCTGAAAGCAATATTAAATCAAAACCAAGAGCAATTGCTTTGGGCTGCTCAACAAATTATATACATTTAACACTGATGAGTTATGACATTATGAGTTAAAGGGATAGTTCACTTTGAAATTCATTTTTGATATGTTTTAGCTTACCTCAAGGGCATCCAAGATGTAGGCGTCTTTGTTTCCACAGTATTTTCAATATTGATATTTTTAGGTCAAACCGTTCTTGTCTGTCAGTCATATAATGGAGGCCTATGGGGTTCACCTCAAAGAGCATGCACAGAGAAGTCCAAATTAAACATGATTTAATGACTCGTAAATGTAAGTACACATTGATGGCCTAAGACACGAAACGAGCGGTTTGTGTGACAAAATGGAAAATGAAAAAAAAAAAAAAAACCTCTACGTCAAAATGGAAGATTCGAATGACACTACTCATACCCTTCATCATGTCTATACAAGGAGTTTACAGACTAAGGCAACATTTTTACATAGTTAATATGGTCATTACGTCCTTTAAAGGGATTTTTATTAGTTTTTGGTTCAGGTTGATCTCAGTCAATTCAGATCAAAAATCTTTGAATTCATATATTTTCAGCCCATTCTCACTCCCAAGGCGTCACCTAACTGACGCCTTGGGAAGCTTTTGGACATGCTTCAATATCTGACGCTTTAGGCGCCCTTTAGCGTCAGTTAGATGACGCCCTAGGATCGCGTGTACCCTACCCCCACCCCACACCTAAACCTAACCGCGTCCTCTAACTGACGCTTTCCTTTAGCGTCAGTTAGATGACGTGGTAGGATCGCGTCATGTAAGTGACGCTAAAGGGCGCCTAAAACGTCAAATATTGAAGCATGGTCAAAGGTGACGCCTTGGGGTGAGAATGCGTTGATATTTTAGACATAGGCTATTCTAGAATATATACCGGTAAATATCTCCCTTCCAATGCTGAATATCATAATCTAACCGTGTGGCTGATACGGTCCGTTTTCAAACAAACAGGAGATAGACAGAGCAACAAACTCAGGGTTTGTTTGGATGTTGGTGGTCCTTTCTCTAATGAAACAAGAAAAGCTTTTTGCTGAAGTATAATCTGTGACAGTCTTGATTATCAGCATAATTACAGAGCTCTTTCGGCCCAATGAGGAGAGCACAAAAGCACTGTGTTAACGCGGCACAAATAACTCGATCCTGGCACACACATTTAAGCTCCTGTCACAATTCGAAAATTATAGGGAGAGAGCACACATACACCCATTAAACAATGGACTGTAGCCTACATCCATGGCCACCCAAGACTACAACTACAGCAAACCAGCCTTGAACGAGCACAAACTGTACCATAGTGCCCTTCCGATCTCCCCCTCCCCATTCCACCCGCTGAATGTTTTGCCTGTCCTCTTGCATTTGTTAAATCCTCATAAACCGTCCCCATAAAGACGGCATACAGCCCACCTACCTCGAGCGCCTCTTGTTGGTTTAATTCTCTCTATGCACTCAAGTGGAAATAAGTGCTTATCACCAGCGGGTCACACATGCTAATGAGCGACTGTTTGTTTTTGAGGAGGAACGGAATTCGGGATGAGAAGGGAAACATTATATAAGTGCCTGAATCCAAATATCTCTTTACATATTTAAACTTACAAAAGAGTTAGTTCGAAAAATGAAAATTCTGTCGTCACCCTCATGTCGGACCAAATCCGTGAGACTTTCATTAATCTTCGGAACACAAATTAAGATCTTTTTGATGAAATCTGAGTGATTTCTGTCCCTCCGTTGACAGCTATAATTTTGATGCTTCAAAAAGTTCATAAAGAGATTGGAAAACTAATGAACAGTTTTCATTAAGGCTTGTATTTAAGGCGAACATAAACAGAAGCTCAACTGAACTTTCTTGACACACGAATGAACCTCATTGGTTCTTGCTGAACCACAAACGTGATGCGTAACGCACATGAATGAACCTCATTGGTTCTTGTAGAAGCTCAAACTTGCTGCATAACACACATGAATGAACTTTAATTTTAACTACTGAAAATGTAAGTCCTGATATCAAAAATTGACATTGTTACTAGTAGAAATATTATTCCTGATATCAATAACTATCATTTTAACTAGTGAAAATTGAATTGTTGATATATAAAAAATGAATAAAAGTTAAAACGGCTTGCCATACTATGAAAACTTTTTCTTCAGTAAAATTCATGCAGTTTTGTTTTTTAACCACTAGAGGTCTAAATGTTACATTGTGTATCGAGCATTTAAGCACACTCAGAAGAAATGGTTCTATTTAGAACCAGAAATGGTTCCATCCCCGCTTCATGTTTTGGTAAAAGGTTCTATTGGCCAAGTATATGGAACCCCAGGGTTCTATATAGAACCCAGAGGAACCCTTTTTTTAAGAGTGTATAGAACCTTTTAGGGATTCCAAATACGTAGTTACGTAATACGAAGACAAAATTATACCTTAAGGTTCTATAACCTTTTCTTCTAAGACTGTCAGTAGACGACCCGACGTGCGCTTAAACATAAGAACGTTAAACTTTATCGTGTTGGTGAGGACTCTAAGTTGTTATCAGACCTTTTTATGGCATTGCGCTGTGAATACTCATTCGTGGAACCTTTTATTTTTTATAGCTAGTGTAGGCCTATTTATAACAAATCTGGGATTTATGGAAAGGTTAGTCAAGGCTATCTTTTTTTGAATGATTCCAGGAATCAAGCGAACTTTCGGACCGTGCCGACAAATTAGACAATTAATTGCCTAATCCTGCTATAATCGCTGAAGAATAGATAACCAGACTTACTGAATGTTGGCTAAAAAGGACGTTGCTATTAGTTATTGCGCAAGTCGTGTCAAAATTGAGTGAGTCATCTCATCTGGATATCATTGGCTTGCAATCAAGGGTCCCTTCATAAAAAACAGTCAAGACACTACACTGTATTTTTAGTAAGATTGACTGTACAATAGTTGGGCCAACAATTATTATGGTGAATGGATGCATATATTACACTTCAGACTGCATTACACTAATGCAATTTACTCTGTCTGCAGCAAGGAGTGATTCATAATAGGCCAACTGGCATGATGACAAACCAAAGCACTGGAATAGAGTCCTTTCTAACTCAAAAAGATTTTGTAAAAATCATTCTGGACCTAATTAAATATCATCTTTCTAGTCCAATGTAATAAATCACAAAGCATCCAAAATATTTGTGTTGAGACTTGACTAAGAAGTCAAGTTGATTTGTTAGTCTGACCAGCAGAGGGCAGCAGAAAACCAATTTACCGCTTTAATCACTGGACCAAAGCATCGTGAGGTAGAGTTGATCGAAGTGATGTTTTTGGGAAACGCAATCCTGGATGCAAATTTGAGATGACGTCTGACTTAAATTAATTATGAAACAATATTTAAAATAAATAAGAAACTTGTGGTTACTTTAAAGGTTTAGTTGCACAAATCTGAAAATTCTGTCATCATTTGCACCCTAAAGTTGTTCCAAACCGTATTTTTTTCTTCTGTTGAAAAGGGTGCACATCAATTTTTGGGGTAACTATCCCTTTAAAAAAAAAAAAAAAAAAAAAAAAAAAAGATCAAGGTCTTTAACCCTTAATTTAAAATAAAATATGAGGCTGCTGATTTTATGACCTTTATTGGGTATATAATAGTTTAAATAATCCTATTTAAAGTAAATAATTGGCAGCACTATACTATTAAAGAACATCATCAAACTTTTTATAAAACAATATTTGTTATAGCAATATAAAAATCAAATCAGTAATGTGTTACTTTAATTAAATTAAAATAATTTCACAACATCTAATGTTAAATTATACATTAGATATTCGTCTAAATATAAAGAGAGAGAGAGAGAGATGAAAAAACTCCCAATGGTGCATCATTAAAGAAAATTATCAATATAAAAGGTTGTACACTGTAAAAATGAATATGCTTTATGCTTTATCTGATCAATACAATTGTGGCAACAGATTACAAACATTATTATTAATTAAATTGAACATATTATAAT